TTAAGAACTTTATGGATATATGTATTTTTCGCTTTATTGTATCTATTACGCATATGTGGATGATAAAAGTTTAAATCCAGATGATAAATTCTAAACAAATGTTGCGGAATAGTCTTCTTTTGAATACAAAATTTTTTTTGATTAATCATATCACCACTTTTGACGTTGCAGGTGGACATACAGAATAACTTCAAGTCGCTAGAGCGGGAAATACGTGAGCGTAACAAATTTACATCGCAGCTACAGTCACACAATCAGCAACTGAAGCGAAGAAAACTGCGAAGAGCAGATGATTCCAGTGGGGATAGCACCGACCAATACGCTTCCATGGAGGAGGGCCTCGATCACGATCGTGAGGATCATCCTTTCATGCGTGATAGCTCTGTGGACACCGTCCTTGGATCTATGCGGTCTCGCGATGGACACTCGTCCTCGTCCGTCGGTTCACGCAGCAGGCGATCGTGGGAGGAACATTCGGAAAGAGAAACTTTGGAACTGCAGGAGTTACCAAACTCAATAGTACCCCAGAAACTGTCGCAGAAGGACGTGGTGATAGATCTTGAATCAAGTGACAGCGGATCAGATGAAGACCTTGATACGCATTACCCGATATATTACCCCGATAGCGATGAGGAGGGCGACGAGGAAGAAGACGGCTGCAACGATTGGGAGCTCGCTCTGCTGGCAAAAGAGCTCGATGAACGTTGGAAGAATAACGATAATGCCAATTCGGGTTCCTAATTTAACAAGATTCCAGATAACCTCGGGAACACGATACGCTCCGATGAATGCAATCCACTGGCTGGATCCAGTGGTAGTGCAGCTTTTTGCGAACGCGATCCTTGCCCGAACACAGTCAGATTCCGACAGTACAACTAGCTGTAGCGAGACTTTAATATAGTCCGATCTCGCAAAGTGTTATTGATGTTTCTCCTCCTTTCCTATTTTTAATCCATTTCGTCTAATTTAATTTTTAATATCTATGATAGATGTCCAACTCGATGGATCCGTGTAATGGTGATCCTGTGTAATTTATTACTTGTATCGCGCAGATGTTAGCTCGCATATAAAACGAGTTCTCTTGCTTTCTTCAGCTTTCTCCTTTTCTTCTTTTCTTCTTTTCTTCTTTTTTTTTCTTGGTTAAGTAATTTTATCGCAAATACTTATAATTAATAACAATTAATAATTTTTATTCTCATTAGTTTTGATTCATATGTAATTAAATATATAACTAAACTCAATATTAATTTGATTAAATGTATATTGATGTAATATTTATAGATGTACCTGTAATATTTATAGGAGTCGTATAATGATCTCCAATTTAAGTACTTTCGGGCTCAACTTCCAAAAAGCTGCACTTAGAAAGAATAGAATGACAGAACTTAAAGAACAGACATATTGGAAAGGCCATGCCGTATATAATCAATGTAATAAAAGTGTTTCTAATATCTATCCGTCCTTGTCTGATAGATGTTGTTTTCTTGTCAGATAGATAGCGCATCGACAGTCATCTATGACCCTTCCAGTATGCATGTTTTAATTAAATATATGATACATGAAGCTCAAAAATTAATATTTTTAGATTCCTAGATTTCTTTATAAGTGAAAATTTAAGAAAAAGTAAGAAAAAGAGAACCATTAAGATTTATATATATTTTAATGAAAACGAGAAAATGTAAGAGATTAATGTAAGAATGCCGTCCCATAGAGCGGAAGTTGGCAACGGAACGGAACTCGCGGAATCAACACGACGAACACAGCCACTCCGTTTTCTTTTTTACGCTTTTCCTAAATTTTTTATGTCCCATTGAGCGGAATTAGCGGAAGCGGAGAGAACACGCGGAATAATATAAAATCATACTTCTTATGTTATTTACAATAAACACTAAGTATAAGCGTATTCAGGCGTATGACGGTCAAAGCTAGATCTTTTTTGCCTAAAATAATTCACTATGAATTATTTTAGGCAAAAAAGATCTAGCTTTGACCGTCATACGCCTGAATACACTTATACTTAGTGTTCAATTCTTGTCGGTCCGAATAAAAAAATCTTATTATTGATTTACAATACTTGTAATAATAAAAATAGTATTTTAATTATCGTGTTGATTCCGCGAATTCCGCTCCGTTGTCAATTTCCGCTCTATGGGGCGGCATCCTAAGATTATAGGCAGCGTTTCGTTGCAGAATCATTTTATCCTTGTTTGACATTCTGTAAACAACAAGAATAAAATAATACCTCATGGGCATTATACATGCAACGGAACGCAGTCTAAATGTATCCTATCTCCTTTTAAATGTATCAGAGTTGTATAAATGTGACAAATATATTTCATTAAAAAATAAATCATAAATATGTTAATTTATTGAAAATTCATTTAAAAATAATACAATTAAAGAATTGCAAATTAATACAAATTCAGGTTACATGACATTTTCTCGAGAAACTAGACTGGAAAATGTTAGCACTAACAAAAACCCTTGGGCAATACGATTTTAATTTGTACGATTAGTAACACTGCTTGTTGAAGTAGTAAGCCCATAAGTTTGTGATATGGACTTATGGACGAATTTATGGACTTACTACTTCAACAGTGTTACTAATCCATACAAATTACATAAAATCATGTTGCCTAGGAGTTTTTGTTAGTACTAACATTTTCCAGTCTAGTTTTTCGAGAAAATGTTACGTAACTAAAGGTGACTGTTACCAAATCCGATTAACTTAATCGACGATTAACTCAATCAGTAGTGTATAGTTAACAACAATCTGTGTATCGTTCTTAATCTCATCTTTTCGTGATATACTTCTATCTCTACGTTCCTATACTTAACTGTGATAAAAGTAATGAAAATCTCCTATCTATAATAGTAATTCTGCTGGTTGAGTTAATTGTCGATTAAGTTAATCGGCGTTGGTGATAGTCGCTCTAAAGCTACGTTCCAAAGCTTTCTCTCTAAGAAAAATTTTACTCGAAATATATAATACATGTAACGTATATACTATAGCATATAGAATAAAATCTTCCTCGGAGAGGAAGTTTTGGAACGTAGCCCAAGAATTCTGTGTTCGAATCATGCGCCATAATGCGACATCTACCTCTACGAGCTGTGGTATGCGCCGCGCGGATCAAGCGTAGCACTACGCAGAGTCCGCACATAACCTGCAATCATAATAATAACAAACGCGTCGCAACGGATTTTTGTTATCGAATACTGCGGAGTCATAATATCTCTGTCCACGATTTCGCGCGGTACGCGCCGCTATTGTGATGTCGAAGACGTGAGTCTACCGGGAACAGTTTCGACAGGATGGGTGACATAAGGGCTGGTCTCGAGGACTTAAAGCTCGACAGTGCTCTCTTCGCCAATGTGAAATACTACGTCAGCGGTGCGGGCGATCCGAAGGTACGTTATAATTTCCGTTTCTTTCCCGCGTTTTTGTCCCGTCGATGCTCCAACACCCGACGAATGGAACAGCCGTGAGATTCGCTGCTATCGCAGCTGACTGCGTGACATTTGTGAAAGCTATGCTGTTCTTTTTTCCGCTATGAAACCGATGTTCTTCGATTGTCAACGAAGGTTATAATTTGGAACACCACTTCACATTAATGTCGTCCTGTCGCTGGACTATTTCTCTTTTCTGCAACTTATTTCTTAATATTTGGAATGACAATAGTATTGAAAAATTTCAGATTTATACATGCCTGACTATTAGAAAATGTTACTGTTTGTTAATCATAGGCAATACTTTTACAGATTTTGAATTTATTGCAAGAAGGTGGGGCTGAGAGGTCTAATTATTTTAGTGATTATGTTACACATCTGATAGCAGGCAATGAAGCATTAGAAAATGACATTTCTGCAGCGAAGGATCTATATGAGATACCAGCAGTTACACAAAATTGGATTTTATTTTCTGTTAAATGCAACAAGCTTTTGCCGTATCCTTTTGCAAAAGATTGTTATTTTAATATTGTTATTTATTACAAATACTTGTTACAAATAGACATATTTTAAAGATAACAAATTAAGCAATTTTTAATAAATTCTTGAGAAATAACGTAACAAATATGTGAGCAACTTAAATGTTAAAAAGTTTACATTTACAGAACACATTGAATTAGATTATTAAACATTTATTAAATTTAGGGCATAATTTATATTTTCTTAACAACTTTATTTAAATAGAACGCAATATTTCTCACCAGAAGAGAACCAGTTGTTTTCGAATATAAATGTCTGCCTATCCCAGGTAAGTCGAGCAGACAGCAAGTCTCTATGGGCAATGATAATACTCCAAGGTGGCAAATGTCAGCTACGCTTGGATAAATATTGCACTCATCTGATTACGGGTAAAGCAAGCGGTATAAAGTATGAAACTGCTACAAGACACCATATACTCATTGTAACGCCTGATTGGATAACGGAATGTTGTAAGAAAGGTACTCTTGTTAGCGAAGTGGAGTATCATCCTAGATTGCTGGTGTCTCCAAATAGCTCGACAGCGATGATTACTGGATTTATGGATGAAGATATGGATAATAATGTTGCGCAAGAGGAGCAAGATAGGACAAAGGCCATGTTGGAACAACTCAAGCAACGTATGCCATGGAATCAGCCAAGTCCACCGGTGTCTTCAAGTGCTTCGCATAGCCTTGGTGCAACCAGTACAGCAACTGTTCCTTATTCGACAAATGGACAAAATACTGTGAACGTGCAGCCGCAACAGCATCTTCCACGATCAGTTTCCTCGACCAGTTTGAGCACTTCCACAGTTGCTTCATCAGTCTCTGACCAGGATGTTATTAATCAAACAAATTGGCTTCCACAGACATCTCAGCAAAATAATATTTCTCAGCAAATAAAAGCTGTACCGTCACAAATGCAGCAGCAAGAACTGTCTCCACAACAACAGCAAATAAATATGCAACATCAATTGATACAGCAGCAACAATTAACATCGCAACAGCAATTAACGCAGCAACAACTCACGCAACATCAACAACAGTTGCAGCAGCCATCATACAACCAACAACAACTTTTGAATCAGCAGCAGTCGTCTCAGTTACAGCAACAACAATTAGTAGGGCAACAACAATCAATAATGCCTCAACAACAGCAACAACCAATAAATTCGCAATTATCTCAACATCAGCTAAATGCGCAGCCACAGCAATTATTGACATCGCAACAAAAGCAATTAAATCAACACCAAATTATTCAACAACAACAATTACAGACTCAGCAGCCACATTTGACACAACAACAGCAACAGCAAGTGCAATTAACAACTCAACAACAGCAGCAACAACAGCAAATAGTGATGCAACAGCAGCAGCAATTACCTTCTCAACAGCAACAAATAGCAGGTCAACATCAATTGACCCAACAACAGACCCCATCGCAGCAACTTACTTCCGAGCAAAGGCAACTTCTTTTACTGCAACAGCAGCAACAGCAGCAACAGAAGATACAGCAGATTTCACAACAATTGCAGCAATCTGCTCCTCAGAACTCCCAACAATTTGTTATAAGGGACGGTCAATTACAACAACAGCCGCAGAATCAGCAGTTAATTGGACCAAATCAGCAAGGATTTATTGTTCAACGGGATTCACAGTGGCAACAACAGCAATATCACTTACAGCTACAAAGGCAACAGCAACAGCAACAGATTGGTGCTCAAAGGTCTGGAGGACAATGGAATCAACAACCGCCTCAACCTCCCAGACAATTAATTCATTTGGACGCACAAACACATCAGCAGCTGCAGCAGATGGATCCCCAACAGAGGGCTCAATTCATTCAGAAGATTCAAAAGCATCGAAGCAGCCTGATATTACAAAGGCAGATGCAGAATCGTCAGGCACAGCAAGGTTCACACATCGCTGTTATAAGGAGTCCTGGTAAACCAGTACAGCCGGGCAGTTTACAGTGGGTTCAGCAAGCTCGACCACAGATGATGGGACCGCAACTCACACAAACTCCAGGACAAAAACCTGTACATCCCGGAGTACAGCCACCAGCATTAACTCCGA